CTCCAGCGGAGTAGCTGTGCCACTGATCAATCTTTTTCAGTCAGTCATGTGCTGGCAAAAGCAATTATATATCTTCATTACTTTGGCAACAATATCGTTCGTAAATTTTTATCTTCCATTTTTTATTTTATATTTTTGGTCGAAGTCACTGGCAAAAAGTTTTCGCTCAAATGCATTTGCTAGCTTACAATTGGAGGTTTTGCTGAGAGGTGATTATCTTGGTGCGGATTTCTGTTTTATCCGAGCTTGCCTGTTGAATTATTGTGGCCCAAGGCACGCTATACAGAGAAGCGGCGCAAACGGTTGGTATTAGCCGTTGTTGTTTTATCGCAAAACTCTCGACACGATGGGAGCTTTTGCCGTTGGCTAGTTTCCAAGCGGTACTTAATTTTCGTGCAAATTTTGCGACTTTGAAGGATATAATTCCGTATTTCATCGATCTGGAGCCTGTATCTGTTCTTCCGAAGATAAATACATCTTACTGCTTATTATCCTTATATTTTTTTTCTGGCTTTTTTCTCGTTGGTTTATGAAAGAATGCGCTGGATGTAATTTGAGATTTTTTTTTTGTTATTACAGGACGTTTTAAGAATTTCGTTAGTTCGGTTTTTTTAAGCACGAACACTTTGGGTATTTTCATGCCTGTGTGTTGTGCACCTTTTTAACCCAAATATTGGCAGAAAATTTGAGTGGTTTTCTATGGAAAATAGAAAGTTTTTCTGCTTGTTACTATTTACTTAAGGTTTATTCATGAATTTGGCAAACATTAACTGATTACTTTCATTGAATTTTTATTTAACTTTTCTGCTATTAGCTTTCCATTATTTCTTAATTTACAGCACTTCGATACACCTAATATTTGACTCCTAGTATCGTGTTGATCTCCTAATTATGAGAGGAACTCGACAGCGGTCATTCGGAATTTTTTCTCGTAATTTAAGCTGCGAAACCTCTCCTTAGTCTGTTACTTGGTTAACTAGTAGTTAGGAGCTGTTTGTTAGATTCCAGTATCAACGTATTTTAAATTAAAAGCTTGAAAATTGCCCGGCTTCGGAGGAAGGTCAGGTTTTTGGATTACATTTATTTGCGGATCAGGAATTCTACATCTGAAACGTAGTTGAGGTTTTTTTTTTTTGTATAATTGGAGAGCTTTCTGCTCTGCTTTGTTTTATTCACACTTGTTTTCTCTGTCACGATGAAGCTTGGCACGCCAACCACTAATGGCTGTGAAAAAAATTCATAGTTCAGTGAACGGTATGCTGTTATATGAAGTTTGAAGCCGGCTTGCTAGCTAATGACCCGCTGAAGGTTGATAGCGCAAAAAGTATGAGTGGTAGGATGTTATATGTGACAAGAAACTACGAAAGGGGGACAAGAATATTTATTTTTTAAGAAGTTTGAGCAAAGAGGACTATTATGAGTAGCCTTCCGTGGGATATTTGGATTTTTTATATGGTAAATTTCCAGCGTTGGGGTTTTTGAACGAAGGTGTAATTCAAGAGAATTCGAAAGCAGTAAAAACTGCGTAGAGAATGAGGGAAGGCGTCTGGTAGGCTTGGAGTGTAGAACTGGTTATGTTTGTGATAATTGTTTCCTGAAAATTTTGCTGTCATCGAAATCTTTACAGATGGGCTTTGTAAAGGCACGGAATTGCCTGTTTTCGATGAGCGGAACTATTGGGATAAATGAAATAAATGATTAAAGAGCACTGAAGTTTTCCCTGGATGCGAGAAGTAAATCTGTTTTAAATACTGCAGTTTTAGAAAGTTGTCAGTTTTTGGCCTGAACATTAGGATGTTATTGTTACATGTATTTGAGAAAAAGTAGTGGAAGTTTTGAAACCATGTCAACTGTAGAATTTGTAACGTAGCGTAATTCTCTAGGTTTGATCAAAGAAAAATTTTTGCTTTGGAAAATTCGTGATTTGTTTACAAACATATTTTTTTCTTCTCTGACATGGATGGTATGGAACTACGCGACTATTATAAGATAATCATTTTGAGCGATTTTATCGGGACAGAATGTAGTGTGAAACTTTTTTAAGTAGAAAAGAAGATATCTGTTCTATGTTATGCAGTCTGATTCGAAAAGTACGAGACTAAAACGTGTAGCTTGTCCTTCAATTCGTTTGTTTTTGCTTTTCTTTGGACTCATTTGCAACCGTTTGTTTGTTTTGAAAGTTCATGTTGAGATACAAGAAATCTTTTCACTTTTATGCGATTAAATGGTGTTGATTTATGGTAGTGCAGCAGGAGTGTTCACAGTGGTCATTTTTGTCTCAGCGATAATTGTCACTTACCTTTTTTCTCTGTTTTTGGGTTTTATAACCAGTAATTTCGTTGCTTCCTTAATTTATTATTAAATTGCTCTTGGTATTGTAAAGCTCTGTTCTTTTGAATGAGAAGCGCTTCAGTGAACAGTATAAGTACATATTCACATAATGAACAATGTTCATTCTTGAATTGTTTGTACAAAAGACAGATTAAACAGTCTAAAAGTGTATATTTTTTGTTTTATTGTGTCTTTTCTTTGTTTTGCGGAAATTTGTTGAGTACACTGAATGCCATTTTTACAGGAAAATTTTTCATTTTCAGATACTTCTTTTTCTTTCTTGGACATGACTAAATTTCGTGAGTAGTTAGTTTACTTCATAAAGTTTGGTGTAAAGTTAATTCGAACCATTCTTAGTATTTCGTAATACGATGTAGAGGTTTTTATTTCGTTGTTCTAAACTTTTTTGCGAATTATGTGTATTAAAGATTGTCGCCTGTAAAATAATTTTTTTCAGTGATCAATGCGTTGTAACCATAGCTGAAATGTCGTCGACAAAAATGTTTGGTAGCAACAGTGCAGAAATGTCTAAAAAATTACGGGTATGTTTGGCTTTTAGGATTAAAATCCATATTTTCATTCGATGGTTTTTATATAACCATAGTATCATTTCAAAGTTCAACGTGTTTTTCCCTGAAATTTTCGAAGAATTTCGGGAATACAGGCCGAGGACAAGCAGTCCTGGGATACCAGCCAGACTAGAGGGTTTCTATCAGGCTGCCTAATTATCATTATAGCTAAATTTCGATTATTACCAAAGATTTTGATGATCTGTCTTTTTATTGATTTCTATTTCTCGTCGCTTCTAAATGACGTTGATTTTTTAAAGAACAGTTTGTACCGTTTTTTATTGTAATGAATCTAAGTTAAACTTGAATACATAGTGCAGCTGAAACTCATTCTGTAAATTTGAAGGAAAGACCTCGTATTTATCACGCTGGTTTTAAACCACTTTATTCGTATCTTGTTTACTTCCTTTCTGATTTTTGGTTTATGTTAACTGAGGGTAGGCTTAACAGTTTTGTAATGAAATGATAATTACAATATGTTAAATTTTAATTCAGGCAGCCATAAAAGCGAAATTAGAGGAGTTAGGTGTATATGTAGATGAAGAACTTCCCGATTATATTATGGTGATGATCGCAAACAGGAAAGAAAGATCCCAAATGAAGGAAGATCTCTTATTATTTTTAGGAAAAAGCACTAACAAATTTGTGGACTGGTAAGTCCTTCATGCATATTATTTTTTTTAAATTTTTGAGTTTCTTTTGAGTGGTTTCCTCGAATAGACGTGAAAGGTTTAAAAGTTTTAAGAAAATGCATTATTCGTTTTTTTTTTTTTTTTTTTTTTTTTTTTTTTT